GGCTTTCCCACGTATAGCATTGAGTCAAGGATGAGGATCTGACGCCACCAAAGCAACATGGCTCTTCAGTACTATACAGACAGAGATATTAGTCAACTTACATAAAAATATAAAATCATTTTAAAAAATGGATGATCAGGAACTTCTCGAAGCATCAAGCTGTAGACATTCCTCTTCAGCACCTTAGTTGGCCCTGGTCAAGTAAAGACACTAAGGGACTGGCACAGATGTAATGCTGAAAGGCAGCGGCTTTCTCAACACGGTTGAGCCGCAGTCTCATGAGCTGTGTGCATTTGCGCCAGAAACATAGCAGTCTACAGAGTGTAGATGGCATTTTCTATCTAGTGATATCTCATGATGTGTATTTTACTGGCCAGGAAGAATCGGTCTCCTTTTCGCTCTTATTTTAGCCCTTCCCGAATGGTTTTCCTATGTATATAAATAATATCAGTCAGTTTTCACTGTACTTGTTTTAAATAATCCAAACTGTTTTAAATCAGTGTGACTATGAATAACTGTGCTCACCGACAGACAAATATACATATTTCGAGCAATTTCGTCACTTCTTTGGGGAAAATTTTAGATAAAGACCGCGGTTGACACCCCTAAACTTGCTAGAGTTTATAGTGGACGGGTAGGGGCGATACCGTAGGTGGTGCCATCTAATCCCTCGCGATCCACAGTGCGCATACGGATTAATTCTCATCCGATTACTTCATGCAATGCCAAGCGATCTGTCACCGAATACGTATTTGCTGACGTGTACGTCAGTGCAGCGCGAGTTAGCTGCAACATGCGCATAATGAGTTTCTGTTTCCGGATGATCGGGGACAGGCCATGCGAGGTTCATTCAGTGCGCTTCACACATCTCGGGAAGTTGGGAAAATTTTGCCAGCAGTCGGATGAAAAATGACACAAACCCTAATAGCGGGCAACACTGCTTGTCACACAGAGGATGAGTCCACAAATGAGCCAAGGCACTGCTTGAAAAGCTGTTGCAGAGAGTTCCAGGCACTGCTAAATCTTTGCCTTACAATGTGCATGCTTTCGCTTGCTTACTACTATTCCCTGTTTTACGTTGCCGATATGTCCGCAACATAGTCTCCAGCCGGACACCCCAGATTTCGCCCTCCCTGGTTTGTATGACTTCCTTCATGCCTATCTTAGCAACTTCGCTGATATTTTACTTGCACTCCAAAAAAATACCGGAGCTTTAATGCTACCCATTTGACTTTGGTCTAATTTTGACGTAATTCCGGGATGTGTCTCCACAGCAAAGCATCCCGGTGCATGGAGTGAAGCTGGGCTTCCGTATGTACAAGGCGTGCCGGCAATTTCAAGTGGATTACAGGGACCGTGCAAATCTTTTGC